CCCAAATACTCCTTCGAAAAACACAAAATAAAATCCCAGTAAATAAAATCAAACCATTTTTATTAAAGGCAAAAAAAAAAAAAAAGTGTGAGAGAGAAAGAGAAAGCAACAAACAAGTAAATGCATGCGTTGATCACCTACCACCACCCTCTTTGCACGGCAGTCGTTCGTGGTGTGGCACCCACATGGCGCCTTTCCTGTGTATTTTGCCAAAAACCCTGCATGATGGTGGCAGGAGAAGAGCCCTGAAAAGGCCTCACATTCGAGGAGAGGTGGTTGCCGTTAAAAACTGGATAGTGACCTGCTGCTCGGGAAGGATCCCATGGGGGAAGGCGGTTTACCGCTGGTGAAACCCACTCTGGAGGCCACTCCTGAGCAAAAGGAGCGGCAGCCGAAGGAAAAACCGTCGAATGCAAAGGCTGTTTTGCATCCAAACATGGGCTGTGATGAGAAAACGCTCCAGCAACGGAGCCTCGGAACCGCGGTACAGAATGTCCGTGCAATAACCCTGCGCCGCCTTGGGGATATCGCTGTTGGGAATGAAAACCACGCCAAAAAGGGGATTGCTGTTGCGCTGAAGGGAAATACGGCCTCCCATAAGAATCATACGATCCAGTGGGCATCTCGCGTACGTTCCTCGCAAACGGTCCTGCACGCTCCAGGATTCGAAAGGAGGGTTCGGGCAATCTTTCCTGTGCCGGGGGAAACTGCACACCAAAGCGGAATCGTACAGATGGTCGTGTTTCCGCGGCATCAACGCGCGAAACAGCAACAGGATCCGGAGAAATGGTTTGGGGGAGAATAACAGATGCCCCCTGACGTGAAGCAGAAGAGTTTCTTTCCCGTGGTTGTGTGAATGGAGTCCTCAGGGAATCAAAAGAAACACTTTGTTTTGTGCAGTTTTCATCTCTTGATCGTTTGCATGGATAGTCAGGAGAATGTCGTCTAAAATCCAACTGGGAAGCAAAAAAATTTGTACGCTTCACCAGCTGCCTGTAGCTCTCATCCACTTCTCTTACGGTGGTCTCCACACCACTGCGTAGAAGAGTCCGTTTAGCAGCCTCTGTGCTGCTGTAATCCACCATGGCACTGGCTTCACAAGACAAAGATTTCTCTGAAGTGGCCTTGCCGACGGGATGCTTATCCAAAAACGCGGCGTCTGTCAATGACTCTGTTTTATTCTCATCATTGTTTTCACGTTTCGTTGGGGAAAGATGCGGTACTTCAGGTGGATCTCTGGAAGAAGTGCCCTCCACATGTCGAAGGTCACGGAGAACTGCATCGAACGGCGGAGTACTAATTGTACCGCTCTTTGATTGCGCCACTCCCTTGTCGGCGACATCCTCGTGTTTCTCCTCCGTGTTTTCGCCCGCGTTAAATGTGTTATGGGCATCATTTCCAAACAAATACCGCTCCGTAAAGACTTGACCCACAACGCGTCCTTGAGAACCGCGCGGGAAACAAAAAGTGAACATCACCTTCCCCTCTTTTGCATCACACAAAGAGAATTGTCGAAAGAGGAGTATCGCGTCTGTTCTGACGTTGCCCACAACGGCAACCATGCGGTAATTGACTTCATTCTCGCGTTTCTTGCGTGGCGGAGTCGTCAGTGTTATAACTGCCCGTAGCGACTCAGAACCCTCACAAGGCTCAAGGCAAAGCACGCACTGCGGTATTGCCCGACACCGATCCTGCAATTTGTTGCCAAAGGGGATGTTCTTGCCACAGAGGACCTCCAACTTCCGTGGATCCGACTTTAAAACGTCGGCGAAATCCCGGATCCCGCCCCGCAGAAGTGCCTTGGCCGCAATTTCACCGACCCCATCCAATTGCCTCAAAACGGGACCATCCCACCACATCTTTTGCTCCATGCAACGCAACAGGAGGGAGCTCTCCTTCATAAAGGAGTAGGAGTTCATGGCACTTGCGTAGTCGACGAGAAAGCGAGCCAATCGAGGCGCTGTTGTCCAAAGTCTGACAGAATCGTTTCGCAGAGAAAAATCACTGATCGGCATGTGCTCCAGATGGGCCTGGAGAAGCACGTACACCTTATGCCAATCCTCGCGGACTTCCCTTCCGCCTCGCATGCCGGACTTCAGTGGATATCGGATGTTCTTATTGATCTCATTCAGATGTTTCCGATCCCCTTGACGAAGATGAAGCTCTTCGAACTCCGCGGCTCGGCTAAGAATGCCAAGAATTTGCGGCAATGTGAATATGACGGGTGCCCCCGTCATTTTTTCCAGTGTGTTGCTCTCTTTTTGGGGCTTCAAGGCCTTCTCTCCGGAGACCCCCAGCGAAGCGTCGGATCCTAGGCGGGAATTTGTTGTCTCGGCGTGAAACTGTTCCACCGTCTTCAGCAAAACATATCGTCTTGCCATGGCTCGGCCAATACGTGTACTCTCCACAATACATTTCACGTTCTCCTTGTGAAAATCTTGAACATCATCATCGACACCACCGCCCGCCTCATAAACACGACTCTCTCCACTAGGAGCATTTTCGTAGCGGATGGTAACGCACCCCTGTCGTTCTAATTCTGTAAGCATGCGGTGCATGAGCCTCGCTGCAAACTGCTCACGGTTAAAAGAAGACTCCTCTTCTTTAGTAGAAAAAAGAATGCCATAATTACGCGGACAACTTCTCAGTCGAATCCACAAAAATGTCGTCTTAATCCATTCCACGCCAAGACTGAAGCTGTGAATGGTGCGCAAAGCCACCTCTGCGTTCACGTGCTCGATCATCTTCTGATGCAACTGGCTCTCCACTGTGGAAGAGCAGTCACCGTGTCGAAGAGGCTCGTAGAGAGCGGCTTTGGCTTCAGTTGTGAGAACAAGTGCGATGCCGTGGGGATCAAGACCGGGACGCCCCGCTCGTCCACTCATTTGTGCCACCTCAGAAAGTGGCAGATCCTCC